TCCGTCGGATTCGTGAAGGTCTTTCGCAAATTGGTACAGGTAACGGGAATTTGCATTGATGCTTTTAACTTTGTTCTGTAGAGCTTTTACGATTGGGTTTAGCACTTCGTCGTCTTCCGTTAGTAATGCGACCAACTTTGCGTTAAATAAAGTGCTTAGATCCAAAGGTTTTTCAGGTAACTTGAGATTTTCTCGATATTTTGTTACTAATTTTTTGTGTTCTGAAGAAATTTGGAAATCGATTGAGACCTGTATTCCAGAGGTAGAATGATTTACTACAATTTGGTTATTAGACATATTTACACTATTTATCCGAAGGATTACTAATTAAATTACTATTAAGAATTAAAAAATAAATGAAGGCTGAATTTGATAAAATGATTTTGGTAGGGTCAGTGTTTGAAAAGTCCGAGGGAATGCATTTGGAGTTATAAAGTTCTGTTCTATAATGTTTTTGATTGCATGTTGGAATGGAAGAATTAATGAAATTCAACGCTGTAATTATTACGTGATTTCGTAATCTCATGTAATTGGAGTTTTCCGAAATTGAACTAATTGAATTGCGTAATAAATTTTCGTTATCCAACGGATTGAGTGCTTTATATATTTTTTTGGTCGTTGCAACTACGAATTCTTCATCGTAATGTGATGGGGGGATTGCTTTTTCCGAAGGGGATCTTGAAATTAGGTCAGTAAAACCCATATCTTTTCCCGCTAAATGCTTTAAAGTAAAATTAAATGGTAAAAGACGATCTACCCATCTTGTCAATCGACTATGATACGTTTGTTTCCGTGATTAGGTGACAGAGTGGAAAGGAGAGTTTTGTGGTCGGTAATAATTTCTAATTCTGAGCCGTAGAGATAGTTTTTGTAATGTTCTACCGCCCATACAACTCCTAATAACTCTAATTCGTTTGTTGAATATTTGGAATCGTGAGGATTTAAAAATCTTGAAGCGAATGATACTGTTTTCCAATCGTTCCCGTGGAGTTGTTTGAGGGATGCACCTAACCCGTTTTGTGAAGCGTCAGTTTTTACTCTCGTGGATCTTTTAACGTCGAAGTGGGTGTTTTCTGTAAGATTGACTATTTCTAATTTTATCTTATCGAACGCTTTTGTGTGGACTTCATTCCAAAGGAAAATTGACTTCTTGTTTAAAAGAGGTCTTAGCGGGCTTCCGGGGGATGCTAAATTTGGTACAAATTTGATGTACTGATTAGTTGACCCGAAGAATGATCTTAGATCCTTTAGATTTTGGAATTGGGATATCTTTAATCGCTTTGGTTTTATCGATTAGTGGAGCGATTCCCGATTTTGATATTTTGAAACAGAGCCATTCAATTTCTTTTTGGAAAAATTTGCAATTCGCCCATTTAACTGCGAAATTGTAACTATCTAACGTTGATAAAATTTTATAGACAATTTTCTTGTGGTCAATAAAACTTCCTTCGGAAGCGACTAAAATGTCGTCAAGGTAACAATTTGTAATAGGAAAATTTTTTTTTGAGTCCATGACTCTTTGAAATTCGTTTCGCATATCGCCGAGTCCGTAAAAACCGGTTAAGAATTGATATGTGCCCGTTATATCTCCGCCAACCAAACTAAAATTGCATTGACTGCTAGCAAAATTTTCTAACGAAAGTTGACTATATGCATTTTTTAGATCTAGATTAGTGAACCACACTTCTCCGGCAGAGTTGTTGGAAATTTGAGCCGCTACGTTATCCACTAATTCGTGTATGTTGGGCATCTGGTATTTGTTCTTGTAAATTTGTTTGTTAATAAATTTTGAATCTAAGGCTAGCTTTATTGATTTGTCCTTTTTACAAGTGATAACTATCGGACTAATAAATCTGTCCTCGTCGCAATTTTCTAAATTTTTGATATGTCCTTCAGATTTGAGTCTGCACAATTCTGTTTTTACTGAATCCAGTAAATGTAGTGGGACTCGCCTTCCTTTTAGTCTTATTGGCTTTAGTGGTTCGTGAAAATGTGTTATTTTTGTTTGATTTTTGATTTTTCCAATCCGAAGGAATAGTTGTTTGAAAGTCTTGGAAATCATGTCTATTTCGTTCTCTTTGTCAAGTGATGTAATTGAATTGATAGACTTACAAGTTTTCTTGTTGGTGTGTAGTGGGTAGTCTTTTTGTGAAACTTCAATTCCCACTTTTGGCAAGTTGTCATTCCCCAAGATGTTTCTTTCATGTCCTTGTGTTAGGAAGAAGTGGCATTCTTTATGAGACAATCCATTTGAGAAAATGGGAACTATTACTTTTCCAGTGATGTTTATTGCATTGTTCGTGAATCCGCAATTAAGTTCTTTAGTCGCTTGGTCCACTGGATATATCTTCACAAAAGGGTCTCGTAACTTCAACTCGTGTAGAACGTTTTGTTTGAGGAAGCTCACGGGGCTAGCTGAATCCACCTGTATATTGAGAATTACTTGATTTTCACTTCCTAAACCGATGTTTAGTAGTTTCTTCAATTCCTTTCCTTGATCGTCATAGATAGTTCTTACGTTTAATACAGAGTAGTCATCGTTATCGCTCTGTCCGGACTCCGACCATGCGTTGATTACTCCACAGCATTCTCTATTAACAAGGTCATTATTTACATCCGGTTGTTCCGAGGGATAATTACAATCTGTATTATTTAGTATCTGACTATCCACAATATTTATGACGTGATTTACAGATTCTAGTAAAATGTCCTCGATATTTACAAGTTGTACAGGTCGTATCTTTTGCGGGGCAAACCGCCAGATGTCTTTTGGTAAAACTTCCGCCGCATTTCATACACGTGTTGTTCCTTTCAATGTTTAAGGTGGGTTCTCTTTTTACATTAAAATGATTAAGAGGTTTATTGGAAGAGTATCCGTTGGATTTAAAAGTACTCGTCATTTTGATGTGGTTTGTTATTCCTTTTTCATCGATCAATGCCACATTTAAAGCTTCTAGTGGAGGTAGAGTTTCCGTAAGGAGTTTCCGTTGAATGTCAGAGTTCTTCATATTATTGATAAATATATCTCGGATCCACTCGTCTTCTCCTGTGGGAATGTCACATCTTTTTGCCATTTCTGCTAATGCCCCCCAGAATTGTTCTAGCGATTCTCTGTCCCTCTGTTTTCTATTCAGCAACTTGTGTCTTTCGAAAGTTATGTTTGTCTTTCTCACAAAGGCTAAAGACAAATTTTCCCAAAATTCTTTGAAAGAAATTTGTAAAACTTTAACTCTCGTGAACTTTTGGCCGAATATTTTCTTTCCTTCGTTTCCAAGAGCTAAATAGAGTATGGATCTGAGTTTTTCGTCTGCCTCTTCTAGTCTCATGCCGTTAAATTTCTTGGTTTCTGACTTAATTGAGGCCATTTTTTCATCGTCGAACCTCTTTTGCTCGCGGATATTTCTCTCGATGCGAGATGTTTTTTGAGCATCTGATTCGTTTTCCGATGGATTTTCTAGTATTGGAGGGAGTGGATGATATCGTTCCGTTGGATTTAAGAGATTTTCGATATCAATGTTTTCCTTTACGATTATTGCTAGTTGGAATAAGTCGCTCCACTCTTTCCAAGGAATTGGTGGGTCCACTGTATGGTTTTGCCAGAATGAAGGTATACCTGTCACGTTTGATTCGTTACTGTTTGACTGCGCCATGATAAAATATTTCTTTGTTACGGATAATTCTACTTATTTCTAGTTACAAATAAGATATGTTTAAAAAGTGAATTAATCGCTGTATTAAAACATTAAAAACTGAGAGATATCATTCTCTCCGCCGGAGAGAATGAACATACCAAGGTCAAATATAAATTAACCAGTCAAAGTAATTTAAAACTAATTAAATGAAATAAGTAGAATGGTATGATTCGCAACAGGGACAATTAACGCACGATATATTTCGCGCTATTAACGTGTAAGCGGAGATTTAATCCGTCTCAGAAATCGTTCCAAATTGGTTGAAAGAATTTTATTTGCCATTGATTTGTTACAAGGAGCGAAATCTATTTTTTATAGTTTATATGGCGTGTGGGGATGATTTTCATAGAAAATATTTCAAATTTTTGAAAAAAATTTTTTTCATTTTTTTATTATATTTAATATGTTAATGATATTTATGTTATTACTGCTCCATAAACCTTAAGAGGCAGTCGGAATCTTCAAGGCTTCACCCTGATACGAGCAGTCTTGTTGAATTTTTTATTTAATAATTTGCTTCCCTAAATTATGCTTCGGCCATGCTCCCGATATTTCTCATGAATCTGCATCCCTCCAGGTCAGCCTCAACTGGGGCTCAAACTTGACGAGCTTTTTACCTCATTTTGAGTCCTTGTCGAATAAAATAATCCATTTGTATATAACTGTACGAATATTTTTGGTTATTCGACTAATTTCAAATCTTCATTGAAAAAGGAAACTTTGAAAAACGAACCCAGCTGAAAAAATTGAGCCAGTTGTTATCTTTATTCAAATGTTCCTTGTTTGCTGATTTTTAGTTGCTGCATAAAAATTACCAGTGAAAAATTTGAATTTCTTGTTTAAATCTGATTAGAATAAAAGTCATAAGCAATGTTATCATATCTTTCCGCGTAAAAATTGAAACTCAGCTGAATAAGTCAGAAGATTATCCTTATTTGGGTTTAGTGTAAAATTGTCTTGATTACAAAAAATCCAACATGGCTTACTTGTATTAAAAAAGATAAAGCTTTTTAGTGAGCCAACCCATAAGAACACCGAGTGAAGCTAAAAAACGACAGATGTCAATAACTTCTGCAATCCTTAAGACTTTGTTTTTCAGCACACCTGTTGAACATCACCCTCTTCAATTTTTTTATAACAGAGTTCTGAAAAGAGCTATAAAAAGCAAGTTCGCGCTTTCTAATTACTTGTAAAATGTGCAAAATAAAATTTTTAAATTTATTGTATGTAACTTTTATAAATACTGAAGGTTTATTGAAATTCACTTCTCAAACTAATTCCGACTTTTGGTTACATTTTGCTTTTCAGGTGAATAAATTCGCCGTCAAATTAGTTCACGCCAGTCTTCACACCACCAGCATCGTGTGTATCATTCTGGCACTATACGCAGTGATCAACAATAAAAACTTCAACAACCAACCACACTTCTTCAGGCTTTTTTTCACTCTAAGCCCACTTCCAAATTCTTTTTAGAAAGACAAATAAACGGTGAAAGTTTTGGACATAGTTATGACCCTCACCCCTAAGCAGTTTTAACACCCCCACCCCTAAACAGTTTGGAGGGGAGGATGTTAACTTGGTTCTGAGCGAGAATTTTCAGCCAATCAAAATCGAGCATTTTACACGCAGCGCTTAGCTAATTTAATTTAAATTGAACGCTGGGGTGTAGGATTTTAGTCTACTCGGGGGGAAGATGTTCTCTTGACCCAAAGTTTTTCTTTATAAAATTTGTCGGAAATTTGGATTTAATTAAAAAAAAATCGGAAATATTTGTTTTTTAAACGACACATGCAGAAGCCAATTTTATATTAGGAGCATTGTTTATAGAAAAAGAAAAACGTTCAATTTGAGACTAGGGTGGGGTAGAAAAAAAGCCCGTCTACAGTCTGCACAGCTGGGTGGGGATCACGACCGTGGCCTTGTTCGCCACCCAATTCTTCGTGGGTTTCGCTGCATATTTGTTCCCACAGGCGAGTTTTCGGATATTGAGAAACAATAAAAAATTGATGCAAAATTCGCACAAATGACGTAACTTTTCAAATGACGTTTTATGTTTCGCTCATTTCAGGTTTGCTGAAACTTCGGCTGAATTATTTAGACTCGGTTTTTACTGGTAACATCTTTTTTACCCATGAACTGCTAACGAGTTTTCGTATCGAAAAACCAGTTTTTTTTTAACGGTGGGATTATTTTAAAAAAAAGAATATCATCGCATAGTACTTCATAGCAAACGGGGCCTATTCCTGTGGAATTTTTTAAAACAAAATTATAGATTCTTTGGGCAAAATGCTCCGCCAAGGAACTTTGACAAATAATTTTTTTGCTGGTCAAAGAAGTACAATTTCGATTATTTCTATTCACATCCACATAATTGATATATTTTTAAATTTTTTTTTCAGTTCCCACAGGACAAAAAAGAATGGCTGATGCCCGTTCACAAATACCTGGGAGCCACAATTTTCATAATGGCCATAGTGTCCATAGTATCTGGAATCCAAGAGCAGTTTTCGTTCATCGACACACCCCCTAAAAACCCCTATGCATCTCTACCCGCATATGGGGCTGTGGGGAACCTAGTCGGCGCCAGTGCAGTTTTGTTTGGTCTTGGAGTTGGCTTGCTTTTAACTAATTCCGCTTTTGCCAAAATAGAAAAAGTCCCATACGTTCGATTCAGAGAGGATGATTACGAAAGCGAGGACCAGTAACTCAGAGAAAAAATATACCTTTCTAGTAGTAAATTTTGGAATGGAAAACGTAAAAACATTATAAAAACATAACTAAATGCGAAAATTTTTCAACTATTTTTTAATTTGCTGCAACTCAGTTATAACTAACCAATTTTTAAACTTATGTAATCAATTGTAAGTTTCAGTGAAAGTGTTTTTATTTCAATTGATGAAAGAGATTCAAAAAATAACAACACTACCGGAGCCTAAAATTGAGTTAGAAAAGTGTTTTTCTAAATTAATCAATTCTTGGCAAATCTCGATGCGGACTTATTCCGAATCGAAAAGTTGATTAAATAGCCTGAAACTTGCGCCGAGATCTGTATGATCTGGATTGAAACAAAAAACCTTACCTTTCAATTCTTATGAGTGTGATGGTGTTCTGATAATAATATATTGGCGAGAGGTCTTGACTATATTATGGTTAAACATTTGAACAACTGGAACCAGTTCTAAACTAGAAATTATTCTTGGTTATAAATATAATTCTCTAAATCTATAAAATTTTCTTAACTAACCAAAAATTTTCCATAACTAACAGTTACACTTATTTGTAAGTGCTGAAACTACTTGTAATTTCAGCACCAGAGCAATTTGAATTAAACTTAGAATACAGTTGTTCTCCTTCTGTAAACTAACTCGCATAAAACAGTATACACTAGATCTATTGAGACTAGGAGATATAAGAGTAAGATTAAGATTGATATTAGACTAAGAAGTTGCACGAATCTATCCGGCCGAAAATAAGATGCAGACGGTGTACCTTGTCTGAAATTACTCTATGAGTACATTCATTCGAAAATAACTCATCTGGTGCAACCAAAAGTCTGGAACAGACCTTAACTAACTTAGACTTAGAAAAAATAGATTAGAATTAGACAATTGCAAAATTGCAAAAATGTTGCATGAAATAGACAATTTATTAGACATGTCTCTCCGACTCAATAGATCTCCGCCAATTTTCCAAACAATACGAGAAATACCAAAAATTGCGAGAAGGACAAGGACAAGGCACGATCTACGATTAGGAAGAAATCTACCGATTGATTTCATGATAGTACAACGGAAACCTGAACAAACCTTCAAGGAAATAAGATTTGAAAAAATCCCTCAGTAACCTTAATGGTGCTAAGCCTTCAAGGAAATAAGATTTGAAAAAATCCCTCAGTAACCTTATTGGTGCTAATCCTACTATTTATACAATAACGGCTGATAAAAACAACACAAGTCGTTCCCTCAAATCTGCAGTAAATTAAAACATTTTAATAAAATAATTTGTTGAATAAAACTACAAAAATTATTTAAAACAAAAAGCATCATTAGTTTTAATAATCCATCAAATCATTTCTTCAGCCCAGTTTTATCACCTAAAACTTAACAGAAAATCATAAACCCACTAACATCATCAAAAACTAATAAATCAAAACTTTTTATAAATTAAAGTTTAACTTGAAACAAAAAGGCCTATCCTATCCTATCCTATTTCTTATTTTTACTTAAATTAAGCCTTTTAAACTTAATAGATCATCAAGGTTTTCCTTGGATCTTCAAACAGTCACTTAAATCAACTTTCTTTTTTTCTGATCATCAAGATTTTCCTTGGATCGAACGGAACAATTTTGTCCCCCTCCCCCCCCCCCCCCACATTTTCAAAAGTGTCTAACGAACTCAAACGTCGATTCACAACCCAACCCTTATCAAAGGCCCAGGACTAATAGAAATGTTTGAAAAAAAACTAACCAATCTAATTTAGTTAAACAGTGAAGAACTTCGGTTACTCATCCTTCACTTGATTCCCTTCCTCTTAAGATAACCCATGCTAAAACACTTAGACTTAATAAATCATAAAATAGTACCTAAGAATCTACTTGCGTTCGAATTATACCTGAACCTTGTGGATTGATAAACTCCAACCCTTGATCACAAAACACAACTCCTAAGTAAGATTAGGTAAGTCTGTCTTAAAATAGAATTAGTCACGAGAAAGTAAAAAATCATCCTCACGAATCGATATACTACTCTCTCTCTCTAACCCGTCAAACCACGACAACCTATGCCCCAAGATAAGATAACCACACAAAACGCGTAAGAACTAACAGTTTAGGGAAAAAAAGCACAAACCCAAATATTGCATCCATCATCCTAAACCTTATGTCAAGAGATAATCTAGGTTACAAACAAACAATCGTATTACATAACTGTTTAAAAAAAGACGAAAGATACGACCTTGTAATCACACCACATAGACAAAAAATAGGATAAATAAGATCAAAACGATAAACACGAAAAAATACAATCATAACAAAGCAAAAACCAATTATCAGACAACAATTTTCAAAACAAAGAAACGCAGTCTCAGAATCAGACACAAACACAATACAGGAACTTAAGAATTAAAAGATTTCATAAGTAAAAATAACCCGATCGACGACCAAAAACAATTTTCCGACTCAGAAGCCACAATACCATCGTCAATAAAAAACGCAAAATAAAACAGTCATATATCAACAAACCAATACCCCTATTCAATTGAAATCAACCAATAAGACATATTGAATGTTACACACTAACAGTTTTACAATATAAAATATGATCGAGTACGGCAAAAATTTTGACAATAACTCAGTACTCCCATTTTTTATAAAACCACAAAATGATCCCTCCGGAGGACAAGTACAATTTTGCCATAACTTAATTGTAAATTTATTTGAAAAAGGAATTAGCCCATGTAAACAAGAATTCCCTGAAGTACAAATAAAACGAAAAATCCTTGATCACTACCTAAAAGATATATCCAATATCACATCACATTATGGTATATACACAATCGAAATCGCATCACCAAAACAAAATCACCTTAAACACCAAATACAAACAGACGATATAGATATAGAATTCTCGAAAGTTTTACAGAATACAAAAAAAATATAGAACATCAAAATTCACAAAAAGCAAACTCCATATTCACAAACGATGTTTTCTCAATTGTTAATAGCTATCTTTCTATACTAAAAAATGAAAGAACCACAAGGTGACTCACTAATTCAAACATCCCGACATACAGCTAAGAGACAAGAAATAAGTATTTTCTCAAAATTCCTAAGCACAATCCGTGAAAATCTCACTAATAACGAAATATCACATATGTTAAACATGATCTACAAAAGATACTAGCATGGTTTATAATTGATTATTTTGAACATAATCTTGACCTGATATCAGTAGCAGGAAAAATTTCCAACCACAAAAATCAGATGATGAAACTATATTGGCTGACGAAACAAATTATGTTTGGGACACTGGATGGTCTCATTCATTCTTTAATAATATAGCAACTGACATCTCAAGTCAAGCAGTCACTACAATTTCCATCAGTAGAGATTGAGTTACAATAAGTCCACTTACTATTGATGCAACACCTATAAACTATAATTCAATATTTACAGATAGAGAAGGAAATGATAGTTTAAAATTTGCTTTTTTTAACCAACAAAACTACATGGAACAAGAAATCTTACACAGCAAGATATCCAAACCCCATCACACTTCGTAAATGAAGAAATAGTTGAAACAATGCCAACAACAACACAACAAAGCATTTTTCCTATTCACCCAACACTTACAAAAAAACACTGTATTTCCACAAACAACTATACAATCGACAGTGAAACCTTCAGTTATTCCAAAATAATCACAAATAGACTACCAAACATTTAGACCAGTGACAGCATCAAGACAAACAAATAAGCAAAAACATCAAACAGAAATAACTTCTCAGACCCTAACTATAAATTTTTCCAAAAATCCAAAACAACAAAACCCCCCAATACTAGTCAAAATCAACCGCAATCACAAACTTAAAATGTACCACAAGAAGCTTCTCAATCAGTATTTTTCTCAATCAACTTTTTTTTTCAATCAATTTTTCTCAATCAACAAGCTTCTCAATCAGAATGACCAGCCACGAGCTACACTAGATCGTAGCAAAAATTACCCATTTTTCCAACAAAACAAAAACATAGCAAAAAAACATGTTAGAAATCAACCACATTACTCAAAAGACGAAGAATATTATTATCAAAATCAACGATTTAACACAAATAATCATCACAATAACTGGAACATCGATCAACCAGATCCTTTCTATCAATCAGATCTTTTCGAACTATATACACGAAATGAACAAAGGCAAACAAGACATCACCCAACCTCAAATAAAATTAATAATTTTCAACCACAAAATCAAGTGAATACACAAAATTATCAACCAACTCAAATGCAAAATGAAATTCTACTACCATATTATCTACAACAACATCAAATAACAAAGACTCAACTTACAAATTTCTCCAAATTAATAAACGCCGCAGAATCACTACAAATGACAATGAATCCATACCTTATGGGTGGATCCTTCAAATAAGCCATTAATGGTATTCACAGAAACAGATCCCAAATACTCCGTAGAAGATTATTTAAATGCAGTCACAGCAAATTTGTATTTAAATATATGACCTGAACCAGTAAACACACCACTTCGTCAAAATTGGATACATAGACGCACAGCTCTAACCCAAACCACACTTGATGGCGCAGCCCAAAATCGTTTTCTGTTATAACTACTAAAATTAAGTCCAATTGGAAACAATTCACACACAAATTTTCAAAATGTTCGACTCCGAAAGAAACAAACAACATCCAAGAGTTTTATGCAATTAAATTCGAAGAATCCCAAACGAAACAATTAAAAAACTGGCAGTAAGAATTGAAACACTAGTAAAAAAAACATATTCCCTTAATACTCATGATTATAAAAATACAAAAATGACAGAAATTTTAATGATGACTCTAACACCTCCATTACGAAAAATAGCAATAAAAAAGAGAGCATCACATCCATTTCCAATCCGAGAACCCGATATAGACTTCAGAAAACTAGTAGATAAACTAGAACAAGCCGAAATAACTATGAAATTGGAAGAAATAGAAAATTTCAAATTACATTATGTAAGTAATATCCAAACCACTCCTTCACAAATATATAATGTTCACGACTCTGACTTTGAACTAGCTGAAAAAATTACTCAAATATTAAATATGTACGAGAAAAATCCAAAATTTAAAGGCAAGCCATCATTCAAAAAATGGTGT